GAGATTATATTTGTACTTACCGTCGTTGACCAAATAGAAGCAAAACAGTGCTCCAAGAGGAATTATAGCCAGAATTAACCATTTCAATAACCTCCTTTTCATCATAACGTCTTTATAAAGTAAAATCATCCTCGTGTATATACATAGTCACGTGATTACGTAGCAAACGCTGTAACCAATCCAGTTCCTCCATCTGTTGTCTTGTTGTTATTGTTGTCATGCATTTTCGAGCAGTATCGAGTTGATTTCATGAACTAAAGTAGTTATAGGCAAAGACAGGAACTCTCAAAATAAAGGAAATGAAGCATAAAATCATATTYTTAAAAAGATTAAGTTGATAACATTGGTTCATTTCATAATCTCGTGAATTGTGACTCGAAGTTTGCAAAATCGACAAACCGTGAATATTACGATTGCTTTATTAACCTCACGCAATACGTTTGTTCGAAAAAAGCGAGGTGCTACATTGTTCCTTTGCAAATGACCTGTGTGAAGAAAATACCCAACATTACAATGTCGTACAYCAATAAAACAAGAAAAAAAGTGAAAAATTGTCAGTCATATTTGACGAGMTACGACTGAAATCTACATCATGCACGAAGGATGACTAAAAGTACACTATTTCTTCATTTCATGTTTTATTATTTTAATTGTCAACTGAACAGACATTCTCAGCAAATATTACATATATAGCTTTCATGAACTACAGTGTGATAGGTAAAGAAAGGAACTCTAAAAATAAAGGAAAATCAAGCCTAAACCGAGACTGATAGATGATTGTCAGCAACATCTACAAGGAAGCTGTCATTTTGGCTGATTAAACCATGCAATGGACTACACGAAGAGTGTTTTAATTTTTGTAAATCTCTATTTGAAATTACTTCTTGCAGTGAGTATTTTGGATCTTTATATTTATCTTAACGATATTCAGTTTTTCGTAWTTTTTTAACTTATATTCAACGCTTAGTGTATCTACATCGTTCATAACTTTTCCCAAATTATGGATGATGGTCACATACTCGAAAAAACTATTAATTTTTGTAATATAAACRCTGGCATGATATTGCGGCGTCAATTGAAGTACAAAAGTTTAGATCACGCGATGCAAAAAATGTGTATTATAATTGCGTGACTCTTCTTTTGTGTCTGAATCCCATTATGCTAATGAGCTTCTGGCCATTCACGACCTGCATGGGGTAATGATGAGGAGGTTAAAACCATTCAAAGAAGTCGCAAAAAAAGCCAGAGACGTTCCCAGAATATTGGAGTTTCCGTCCTAAGCGGTCTTGACTGGGAGAACCTCAACTCTTGGTTGGACAAAC